GGGGGGGGGGGGGATTAAAAATGCAACAAGCCATATTTTTGCTCGGTCTTAGTGGAGATTGTCTCTTAAACTTTCTGGTTCTTTGACTGTCGGTAAAAGTTCTCTCCCTGTGAGTCACGAATTAAACCGAAAATTGCTCAGATTGGTGTTCACATGCATCAGCCTCTTGCACAGGTATCTCGTGACACCGCCAAAACCCGACATGGTTGAACAGTGTGAAATTTAAGGCTGTTCCTTGTCACATCCCGGTATACTATAGATTAAGCCTTGTTGAAGTTCGCTGATGACATCAGTGCTTGCTCCCTAACCTAGCTTTTCTTGTTTTCTCTAGATAAATCTTTGTAGGTATTTAATATGTTGAATCCGGCTCGTGTCTTTAAGAAACGTTTCGTCTTGATCTTATTCACCTTGCCCGCCATCTATATTTTGTTTGCGATTACTAGCCAACGGAACGAACAACGCTTTCGCAAAGTACGACACGATGGACCTTCAGATGACGTGGTTAATTCCGCGCGACCAACAATTGATACAGTTCAAGAGCCGCCATCAGTGACGCTTTTTATGCGGACGACTGGGTTGCACATAAAGCAATTTTACTGTGATTTTTTGAGGACAACCGTCTTGTTTTGGCCCGCTTCGTATGGAAAGCTAGTCGTGGTTTTCGATCAGGAATCGTCTCTGGATCACAAAATAGGAAACATTTTGGAGAGACAGTTTCATCAATTCTTCCCGTATCGCAAACTTGAAATACTCTACGAGCCTCTTCCGAGGAACTATGAAACGCTGTTGAAGCTTCCTTGGCCGAAACGCGACACTGGCTACAATCGTCAAATCTGGAGCAGCTTTTTTAATGATTTATACACGAACGACACGGTCATTGCGTGGGTGGATTCTGACACTGCATTCTCCACTTCAGTGACGATAAATTCCATATACTACGGTACGCGGTTGAGAGCGATAGGAACGGATTGCACATCATCACAATTAGACTATCCTGGACGTTGTCTAAAAAGCGCGGAGATCTCCATTGGGCTACCGGCTGTAGCGGACTTCATGCTGAATTTTCCGATATACATATATCGCGATACGTATGCCAACTGCAGGGAATACTTAATGCGAAGATACAAAGCCCGCAACTTTGAGGAAGTCTACAGGAACATTAGTGCTTACGACTTAATTTGTCCCGTAACGACAATACTCAACTACGCATGGCACTTCGAGAGAGATCGCTACGACTGGAGTTTCAAGATTTGCTCCGCACCTCTCGATGAATACAACAAGCGCTTTCGACCCAACGCTACCATCAGGCCCTACGACATAAAACCCGTCATGGCGGCTCCTCTGGCAAGCCTTCATACTGGCGATCCTAAGTCGGCGCTTCATTCGGCCCAGGTAATTCTAGCGAGTTATTGTTTGTCGCACAAAGCTGCGGGACACTATCTAAAATTCTGTACCGGCAAACGCGACTTCGCATTGAGCAATAACCTTATACTTTTTATGTACACATATGCGCCTTTGCCGTGCCATGGCGATATGACGTACACTTGCCTCGACGTTTTGCGCCGTCACTACAATCTAGTAGGCTCGGAGATTTTTCAAGACAAACGCAGGATGGAATGGAGCGATGTGGAAACTATTGAAAAACTTGTAAAGGAAGTAAATGCCACGTGCCCTGTTATACGTAATGGGAGCCCAGATGGAAGTATCCCTTTTACTTAAAATATGAGAAGTTGATCTTTATGGGCATTAACGTTCACCTTCATTTGGTATGTCTTGGAAGTGGAATATATTTTTAATGTGGTTATATTCATTTAAAGTGTATATGAAATGAAATTTATTATTTTCTTAAATGAAAGAACTCTTTAAGCTGTAGTGTAACTTATTTTTCAGTTTCTTGTTTTTATGGTTTGTTCCCGAGATAGTTCAATTTGTTTGATATGTAAATGAGTGTGAATATAATAGTTTTGTTTGTGGAAACACCACGTAAATTTATTACTGCCCGGATCTTCATCAGTGCTAATAATATGAATAGTAATAGTGTGAATATGTCCGCTAATTTATGACGTCATGTTGGTTGCAAGCTCTTCAAAATGGTTGAATATCACTGCTATCGTCCAAGATAATAATTTCAAACTTCACTCACTGGTAAATGTGATGAAACACTGGAGAAAAACTTGAACTGATATCAACAGTTTTTAGAGTTAATACATCTATAACCAGTGTAAGTTGAGCTTGCAACCAAAGTGACGTCATAAATTAGCGGACATATTCACACTCATTTACATATCAAACAAATTGAAATATCTCGGGAACAAACCGTAAAAACAAGAAACTGAAAAATAAGTTACACTACAGCTTAAAGAGTTTTTCATTTAAGAAAATAAGAAATTTCATGTCATATACACTTTAAGCAAGGTTAACGGCAGATGTATTATGCAGGCCACATCCGCTGAGGGGAGTCAGTGACGTCATATCGATCAAATGGGGCTGTTTCGCGCCTTGTGATCAGTAGTGCTTCGGTCTGGGTATTCATTCTGCCATTGTATGCTTTGCCTATTTCAGAATCATCCTCAGAGATAAGAAAACCAGTTTCATATTATTCTGACACTGCAATCGAGCAACGAAAAATTCGCTGGCTCGAGCGGGATTTGAACTAGCATCTTCGGGTATCTAGACCGCCGCTCTACCCATTGAGCTATCGAGTCAACGGGATTGGTAGGTAGATAGATAGATAGATAGATAGATAGATAGATAGATAGATAGATAGATAGATAGATAGATAGATAGATAGATAGATTGATTGAATTTTTTATTTAACCACGGTGGTTTTATCAATTGTAGATATGACATATTTACATGTGTTCTTCCTAAAAACCGTGTATCTTAATATTTCAATATAAAACTATATACGGAAAACATATTCTAGTTGGCACAAAATATAGTCGAGTCTAACATTTTTACAAATATTTTAAGTGATGGTGCGTCTTTTATCTCATCCGGAAGAGAATTCCATAATTTAGCACCAGTGAAGGCAAAACTTGAATTGTAATACAGTGTTCGATTTTTTGGAAGTTCGAAGGTTATTTTAGACCTTCTGAGATTATATATATCCAAAGCATGACAATGTTTAAATATGTCTATTAGATAAGATGGTGCATTGCCATTTACTATTCTATACATCATCATAGCCTTTTGTTTATACCTCATTTCCTGAATATTCATCCAGATATATAGAGATAGATAGATAGATAGATAGATAGATAGATAGATAGAGAATAGGGCTGCAAGAATTATTACTGAATCTGATTATAACATCCGGTCATCAGATATTTTAACATCATTGAATTGGACCAACTTTGAAACCAGACGTACCCAACAGTTCAAAACTTTTATGTACAAAACTGTTAATAATATGGTTCCTAGTTACTTGACTGGAAAATTTACTTCCACGTCAATGATACACGAACATAGTTTGCGTGGATCTAATCATAAACTTTTTGTACCAAGACCCTTAACGGAATCCTTGAAGAAAAGTTTTTCCTATAGAGGAGCTACCCTATGGAATGACATACCCGTCGAACTCACTAGAGTTCAATCTCTCGCTGAGTTTAAATCTAAAATATCTTAATATTTCTTTTATATTAGTTTCTTTGCATGTGTAGTTTGTTACTTTTGTAAATAGTTTGATATCTTTTTATTAGTAATTAGTCTACTAGTATAGGTACACGTCTCCATTGAAGAGCACATAACATAACCTGTGAAATGGACCTCGTGTTTTAAATAAAGATGTCAATCAATCAATCAAATCGTTAATTAAGAATTATAACCTTGATTTTACAGCAAAGAACTGAATTTAAAAAGTTTTACATATACAATTAATAAATTTTAAGATAAAATGCGAGAACTACTGTGGTCATTATACCGTCCAGCGGCTGCAATTATAAAGGAGTTTTTGAAACGGTCCGTTTTACATATAGGTATAGTGAAATTTCTTTTGTTCCCTAACGAAGAAATTACGCTCAGGTTATAAGACAGAAGCCCATGGCGAGTCTTATCCCATTTAAGTGCACGAAATATTTTCGTGACGACTTAACGCTTGTCCTAGAGGACGCGCAGTGTTTCAATTCTATTTCAGAATCATCCTCAGAGATACGAATCATCCTCGTGCAGCAAGTTTAGCGCTTTGATACCTTTCCCCCACACTCCCACCCATGTTTAGTCTAGAGGATTTTATCTGGCAGTATGTCATTTTATTTTATATAATTTTTATCTCACATGAAATAGGATGTATAGACCACTATACATTGTATTTCGTTTCCACTGACTTGTCAGTGTGACTGGTGCCGGAGGTATGCCTTGGCAGAATTGCCATGGCTATCTCCTTTTGCGGCTAACATTACTGATTGTTGCTCTCATTGTTGCTGCGCAGCTGCTATGGCAATACTTCTTGCCATCAAGGCTAGTTGCGGCCTTGGACCACAAACGGCACCTACCTCCGAACACTAATACTCCGCCGTTAACGGGAACTAAGACTGCGTTCAGACTAATTAGAATTTTATTTAGAACAGATTAAACTTTGGTAGTCAAATTTGTCAATTGGATTGAATTTATTACAATGGTTCACAGCATTTTTTTTGGGAGACAATGGTTCAGCATTTCTTTTATCCAGAAAAGACACCAGTCGGAAAATTCCGTTGTCATAGCAACAGAATTTTTCAACCCTGGTTTACTTCCGGTGTTGATCAAAATAACAGCTGTGTAAGATTTCACACCTCGTGTAGCACTGTAGTGCTCTACAACAAACCCTACACTTTTTTGCTATCCTAAATCTTGACGGGTCTAGAGATTGATACTTTTTTTCAGAAAGCGGTATCAATTTTCCGTACGTAACACAAAATGACTGAAAAACGGCAAACTTCGCAGGGCTATATTATCCGCATTTTACAACATTTCGCAACGAAACCTCGGCATATTACTAATTTTGTGATGCTTTTTCAAGCTGTGATGAAATTTTTGTCTAGATCAAAATTTTGTTCATTAGGTAATAGGTCCACTCAATCTCTGGATTTGTAAACGAAACTCACCCATAAGACATGATACCATACGGAGGAACCACCAAAATCAACATGAAAGTCAGTATAGGAATCCTTGACGCCCATCAAACAATACTTCTGAACATACGGCTTTGGGTGGGCTGGACTAGAAATTAATAGAAATATGTACTAGCTAAATGAATTTTATTTCATTTTGCTGCTAATAGTTTAATTGACCCATTGAGCTGCATTGTGCCCCAAATTGATGATTCCCCTTATTACGTTTTCGTAGCGCTTTGCATTGTGGTTATAGTGGTATCACTGTCACTGATATTCAAGACGATGGCTTATTATTTGTTCTGACCCGTGCAAGAACTTTTAAAAAAAGCTAGGGTCAGGTGCGCGATAGCCAACAGCAAAATATTCGCGAAAACATTCAATATTTTCATTCGAGGCCGCTATCTTTATCAGTGATACCACTATAACCACAATGCAAAGCGCTACGAAATCGTAATAAGGGGAATCGTCAATTGTCATACTTTATTATTTTACTCTGTCTAACGCCAGACACTTTTACTCATCGAGGAGCTAGCGCTCGTGCTCAATTACCCTTTTCCCAAAAGAGATCACAGTGCATTCTGGGATCGTTTGAAGGGACGAAATATACGGTGACAGACGCCAAATATGTGAAAGAGTAGAAGTTAGTTTAAATGTGTGCTGCCATATTTCTTGTCTCTCCAACATGGGATTCGCGCGACTAGATCCAGGACTTTGGGAAATGGCTAATTGTTTAAAATTAATCAGACTATTTACCCATGTGTCTAACGCACCCTTTTTTAATATCACTTATATTTACAGAGAGCGAGGGAAACAGCGTGTTTTATGGCACAAAATACGCTGTATTACAATTCCAGCTTTTAGTTTATGCCTGCAGTGGATGATGGGAAAACTATGCTGAAAAATTTCAATAAAAACAACCGAAACAACCGAAATATTTCAATATTTACAAGTATAAGCTATCACTCCGTGTTTACACGGCCACCATTTTTATTTTTTCAGCATAATCAGCAATGTGATACCTTACTTCCCATCGTCCCCTGCATGCATCAACTAAAAGCTGGAATTGCCTATTCAGCTGGTATTCCGAAACTGTAATAAAACTGATTAGCAGACATGCTCTTGAGAGAACTTTGCTTTAAACTTGCTGGTTGAGGCGAACAGCTCGCGCCTCACTTCTGGTTTTATTATTGACCCGTCAATAATTGTTTCATTGTGCACCGGTTGCCCCCTCACCAACGCATGCAGTGAACGTGACGTTTCCTGGACGAGCACGTGATACGGTTTTGCCCAACCGGTAAACAGGAAAATTGAACTTTGACACTTACACGAACTTTATTACACTTTGATGCTTGTGCATGATGTTACTCTGAGTGTATATCCACACCGGGCGAGCTTGAAAAATATGCCTGGCCACGGTGGGAATCAAACCTACGACCTTTGGAACACCAGCCCAATGCTCTGCCAACTGAGCTACGCGGTCAGGTCGGTTCCAGTATGCGATATTTCGGAACTGAGTCTAGTTCCTTCGATATCAGTGTAATCTAATAATCATGATATTTGCTGTGTTGGTGTAGTGTACTCAGGTGAATAAGATGCTTGTGATGTTACTCGTGTTGAACATGACATCTCACTCGTTTGCTGCGCTCACTCGTGAGATATCATGTTCAACACTCGAAATAAATCTGGTATTTCTGCGCACCCATGTATTATTCTCTATGTATAATGAACTTTATTATTTATTATATTGAGTGCTTGCACTCCGTGGGTTGATAACTACACACTTAAAAACGCACAAGTTGTTCCAGGTCTGCAAACAAATTGTTCCAAATCTGTTCACAAGCTGTCGACAAGTTGTGTTCGCACTGCTTGTTCCCAGTTGTTGTAACAAGTTTGGAACAAGCTGTTAACAACTTGTAACAAGCTTGATGGCATTATCAAACTAGTTACTGAAGGTTGTTCTAACAAGTTTGATACGGTTATAATACAACAAGCTTGTTACAAGCTGTTTAAACAACTTGTACAATATTGTTATATCATGACTGTATCAGACTTGTTGGAACAACCTTGCTACAAGTCTGATAGTATCAACAAGCTTGTTACAAGCTGTTTAAACAACTTGTACAATATTGTTATATCATGACTGTATCGGACTTGTTGGAACAACCTTGCTACAAGTCTGATAATATCAACAAGCTTGTTACAAGCTGTTTAAACAACTTGTACAATATTGTTATATCATGACTGTATCGGACTTGTTGGAACAACGTTGCTACAAGTCTGATAATATCAACAAGCTTGTTACAAGCTGTTTAAACAACTTGTACAATATTGTTATATCATGACTGTATCAGACTTGTTGGAACAACCTTGCTACAAGTCTGATAATATCCACTAGGTTGTTACAAGCTTGTCCAAACATTTGTTGACAACTTGGGACAAGCAGTGCGAACACTTTAAACAACTTGTACAATATTGTTATATCATGACTGTATCAGACTTGTTGGAACAACCTTGCTACAAGTCTGATAATATCCACTAGGTTGTTACAAGCTTGTCCAAACATTTGTTGACAACTTGGGACAAGCAGTGCGAACACAACTTGGTGACGGCTTGTTGGCAGACTTGCTACAAGATGTGAGATTTTTACGTGTGCACATACCTATCATCAGCACCATGTTCTGGCCAGAAGCGGTTCACCCAGTCAATTTCACGAACAATTTTTGGTCCATGAACCAATTTGGATAAACTACAAATAATGAAAATATTGTAAGCAAGCGAGTTGTTTGAAATCGTGAATTGGAAGGAAAAAGAATTAGCTTATTTTGTCTCTCATGCCATATACCTTGTCCGCGAGAACTCTAGACTGATCACATTGAGCGTCTTCTGACGTCTTTTAGTCATGAAGTAGGCTGTCCAATCAGACATCTTCATTTTAACATCACCCTGCTCAGATGTTAGAAAAATAGTTTAATTTATATTGTGGAACTAAATAACTAAGGACAAATAAAAAATACTTGTTTAGCGTCACCGCCCACCTCTCGATTTCTGCCGCCTCTGAATTTTTTTATGTAAATCTCTTGGTTTTACAGCTTAAGGTAGCTCGATAAAGTTTTCAAAATTTCAGGTGTTTAACACTTTGACATATTCAAACTACGCATTTTTAGGATTTACTCAGCAGATATTGGGTTTTTTATATATTTTGGTAACTCTACTTTCAAATTATATTAGTTTTAGTAACAAATAGTTCGTTGCTATGACGACATACGTGTACGAAATTCACTCCAAAATGGCCTATCGTCTCATATAGTGATATAGTTGGGAAAAAAGCATGGTGACCCCCAACTTTTTTTCGTGCATTATTTTACTTGGACGAAAAGCTAGCAATTAGCAAAATATAAAAAAATTCTGTAATGCCATTTTTTTTTTGAAAATGCGAAAATGTCATATTCTTCGGTAAAATTTTTTTGACATTACAGAATTTTTTTATTTTTTGTATAATGAAAGTTTTTAGCGGTGCAATACAGCATGCAAAATTTGAACATAGGTCACCAGACAAAATAAAGAGATACAGCGCATTGTTTTTCTAAAATGGAAAATTCTAATGACGTCAGCAATTGACATAAAACGCTATAGAACACGCGCAATGGCGTGATATGGCGCGAGCAACTACTCACGGTCACCCGGTTTTGAGTTCGCGATTCTTGAGCAGAGTTTCTGTGATAACTATATCGAGCCACCTTAAAACAGTTTAATATTTGAAATTTTTCTCATGCTCAGACCTTCGCGCTATATACTGATCGATAGGAGCGCATAGACTTGGGTGTACAAGGTTCTTACTGTAAATCAAAATGGCGGCCTTCGCAACATCAGTACAAAAAATTTCACCGATACGGTGGAAAAACCGCCCCATCCCCCCAAAAAATACTATCAAAATTTTTTTTAAATGATTAAAAATTTTTTAAAAAACCCGCCCGCCACTGAAAATTTGCGAGAGTGTGACGCTAACCAAGTATTTTTTTTTAATTTGGCCTAATTAATACTGGCCTCATTTATATCAGAGACAGATTATCGGTCATGATTAAATTCGGAAATGATGGAGTTCTAAATGTCAATTACCTGTCGTGCAACGTCAATAATATCTAGTTCAAAGTTTGGGCCTAAAATTGAAGAAAACATACCATAAAATTAACAATAAGCAATTCCAGCTATGACTAAATTTTGATCTAGGCAAGTAGAACAAAATCCATCACCACAGCTAGAAAGAGCATGTTAAGATTAGTAAAATTGCAACGTTTGGTTGCAAAATGTTGTAAAATGCGGAAAATATAGCCCTGCGAAATTTTGTATTAATTTGCATTATGCACAGGGAAAATGCACCACATTTGGGCCGAAAGTGATGTACAAGTTTCGTAGGGCTATATTTTCCTCATTTTACAACACTTTGCAACCAAACCTTGCAATTTTACTAATTTTAACATGCTCTTTCTAGCTGTGGTGATGGATTTTGTTCTTCTTGCCTAGATCAATGGGAGCTAGCCCAAAGACATAGTCAAAACAACAAGAGAGCCAACTTGTCCAAAACTTTCAGGGTTTAATTGTTGGATAATGCAGATTTTGTGATTTTTTAATACGGCAGTCAACAACTAACCGACAAATTGCTGTACATCTGTGACGGAAAACGAAGTCTTGGGGACGACCAAACCAAGGCCATCCTTAGCTTCAACAAAAATAGGTTTTCTGAACCCTTTCTTCGCAAAGTAATCCAACGTCAGATCTTTCCCTCGACACTTGAGCAAAATACCCTCGGAACTGAAAATGATCAAATAAATAATACATTGAAATAAGTTGATTCAGGCTTAAAAATATCGGTCGGTCACAGACATTGTCCGACCCATTCGTGGAATTGTCTGATGTAGTGAGGAAACCACCGGACATTCAGTCCGACCCGAGTGTATTGCTGTCCGACCGAACTGTAGCCTTGTCGGACCATAGCCTATCGAAGGGGAGATGGCTGTGAAACTCATTAGAATAACAATATAACTCATTATCTATGTTAGTCAACATTTATTCATAAATCTGGTCCTTCACCGTCACATGTGTATTGTATTTTTACCTAACTAACCAATTGCAATGTTTTAGGAAAGTCACCTATCTGTGACTCGAACAATGGACGACTTGCGCTTTAGACTAAATTTTAATCTAAGTAAGAACAACAAAATCTATCACCACAGTTGGAAAGACCGTCTTGGAATTAGTAATATTACAAAGTTTGGTTGCGAAATGTTGTAAAATACGGAAAATATAGCCATTCAAAGTTGGCAAATTTGTATACTTTTGTATTACGTGTGTGAATTGGTAACTAAATTAGTTACCAATTTCCGCACGTAATAGAAATGTATACAAATTTGCCAACTTTGCAGTTTTTCTAATTTTGATAACTTCTTTCCGAAAATATCCTTTGTTATAGACCCTTTTCATAAATGGCTGCCGATTAAAAATTCTTTTATGTGCATATAAATTGGCCCAACTAGCCTCGTACTCATGTTAAGATTTCAAAGGAATTTCTACCCAGAAACGAGGCTAGTTGGGCCAATTTATATGCACATAGAAGAATTTTTAATCGGCAGCCATTTATGAAAAGGGTCTATTCCCAGATTAAAATTTTTTCTAAAGCGCAAGTCGTCCATAGGAAAACTGGAAATTGCTATTGGTGGATTTGATAAAAATACAAGACGGTGAAAGGACCAGATTTATGAATAAATGTTGACTAACATAGATGAGTTATACTGTTATTCCCATCTCCCCTTCGATAGGCTATGATCCGACGTAAATCAAATTCTACTCTAGTCCAGGACTAGAGGGTTGTACAGTATGTTACAGTCAAACCGGATGTTCTCTCGTGAGCAACATTGCAATATTCTCCACAATATTGCAATTTTGATAGCCAGATTGCTCTGAGCAATTTGCAACCTACAGGAACAAATTGCAAGTTGAAATTCACAAAAACAATTGTAAACAAAGCCTCTGATTGGACTATAAGAAAGAGGGAAGTACCAATCCAGTTGCTCAGACTATTTGATTGGCTTCCCTTTTTCTTATAGTCCAATCAGGCTTTGTTTACAAATCTTTTGTGAATTTCAACTTGCAATTTGTTTGCGTCGGTTGCAAATTGCTCAGAGCAATCTGCCTATCAAAATTGCAATATTGTGGGACAATATTGCTCGCAAGAGAACATCCGGTTTGACTGTAAATGGAGAATCAGAGTATTGTATAAAAAGTGAACCAGAAATGTTGTTTGAATGTAATTGAGAAGAGGAAAACGGGCTTAAGTTGTCGAAGTCTTACCGCTGTTCTTGTAAGCTAGTTATTTTTGGCTTGGAAATAAGTATGAATGACACAAATTATAATTTAATATCTTCACAACATTTACCGTTCAGAATTGATGCATTGTGCTGATATTAATTTGTGTCATTCAGACTTATTTCCGACTTAGTCATCAGACATTTTGTAAGGCCTGGTTGACAAGTATAAACATAGGTCCGCTATGGCGGACATGCATCTACTGAATAGTAGCACCGCGAAATAAAAGGCATTGGGCAGATAAAAACATAGATGTGTACTCTGGCCTTTGGAATTAATTTCTGGCATTTCCAGAGTCATAGCCACTGATTGAGGTCATAGCACAAACGTCGCATTGACATGTTATTAACAAAACCATTTATGGACAACAGCGGAACTAACCATAGATAACCGACTTTAGCTCGCAATTTCTATGCTCGCAATGCATTACATCGATACGTCATCAATACATCATCACTTGTCTGTTTCTGACATCCATGGACGGACGTCGTCCTGGCAATGTTTCTACTGATTGAAAATCAGTAGATGCAAAAATTGGAGGTTCATATATTGTAATCTTACCTTGCAAATTGCTTTGTCTTCAGTTGCTTTATAAACACAGCAGTCCCTGCTTGAACAGCCTAGCAAATTGAAACCAACTCATAAACGGTTGACAAAAGTTAAATTAATATAACCATGGATAATAAAATAAATAGATAGGACTCTAGCTGACGTAAGCAAAAACAACCTAGTCATAGATTATAGATCATACCAGATGTCTCACTCAGCCAAAATTGTGTCCGCGATTGTTATGAGCACGTGTTGGCCGCCATTTTGGCAGTAAGTGTAATCCACGCCATGAAAGGTGAGCAATCACACATTTTGGCAGTAAGCGCCATTTTGGCAGTAAGTGTCGCACGCATCATCTGGCGTGATAGCCTCGTGAAAATCGCGGACATGAAAATCATAGGGATAGATCCACAGTGAGACATCTGGTATGATCTATAATCTATGACCTAGTTGCAATCTGTGACGTCACACGTATTGCAAAGTTCTCGGCATTTTTGTTGTTTCGCTATACTTTCCGCTTTAAAAGAGTAATATTGAAGCATAAACTGGTCTAATTGTTTTAAAAACATGCCTAAGCCACGACAAAGTATTCAAGGTAAATGTTTTTCGTCTTTGTTTTGTATTTTTTACATTTGTAGCTACGAAATTGGCGTCCCCAATTTTAACGAAATTTGGGATGCCTTTTTCACTGTTTAGTGCTTGAAATATTTGCTAAAATTGACTGGGAATTCTTAGCGATTTAATCGTGGAATGGCGTAGTTATATTTATTTGCTCTTTGACTAAAATGTTTAGCTGTATTATTGCTAAACATGCCGTTTTTGAGAATTTGGTTTGCAACTAGGTTTCAACATCCAATCACGCCATCAGCCCATTGAAAACATTAGGTCAGAAACACTAGTTTCCTATCCATTTATTTTATTATCCATGATATAACTCACTGTTTATTGATATTTATCGAAAAATTGATCTAACTTCTAGCAGCCCATTTGATGTTCTACAGGATTCCACAATATGCATCATAATAAATTACAAAACTCACTTTGCATTCGGCTTTGTTGTCACTATAGTCATGTCGATGAAAATTTTCTTGCCTTTTCCCTTAAATTTAAAACAAATGAATTAGACAAACACAGGCTGCCCTGGTTTCCGTCCATCGTGCCTGAAAACGAAAAAGTTATTGACAAAAATGCGGATCATATGAACCTACGAAAAAATATCTTTGTATGGTTCAGTTAAAGACCATTTTATACAATAAATTTATCGACAGTCACCTTTGGTTTATTTTCTTGCATAATACTACTTCTTGCACATGTAGACTATAATTATTTTTAGTTTTTAGGCCGTCATGTTCATTATTCCGCCTGCATTTTCATAGAAAAGGCAAAATATCAAAGTCGCTCCTTGTCACTTCCATTTTGAGTTTTTGGCAACCTTCAAGACACTCGACATCACGTTCGCAATACAGATTTCAGTAATGTTGACGAATGCGCAGATGTTTGCCCACGGTGTTACTGTAAAACACACTTGAATCACAAAATAGGTTTCACATAGTCCAAATGAGATTACGAAATAAACAGATGAAAAATTTACTACGATTTGCAGTAAATGTCATTATCACTGCAAATTTAAAATTAAATCAGATCATACCCCATGTAGAACCTGCATTAAATTGCATGATCTTTACAGCTTTACACTCAAAAACAAAAATACAAATACAAAAATACAAATACAAAAATATTTGCAGCACATATTATTTTTAAAGTAAATATATGTTTATATTAAGCATGTTACCGTTTGGGTGCGAATTTTAAACAAAGGTATTTGTGGCCATGTGTTTTGTAACGGAAATGTGTAGTATATACAAGTACGTGTTCAACAATCAATGGTTTTCCCCTTATTTTAGAAGGCAAATCGGTTAAAAAAGAAAGTTATAGGATATCAGCGCATATGATCTTTAAAGTGCAATGTTTAAGTGAAAATCGATTTGTTTACATAGCGAGAACTTATACACTAAAAACAACCGCAAATATTGGAAAGAATTACAAGCTGGCTAGCCAGAGGGAAAAGCTTTAGATATCCGATATGTTTTCTCTGCTAAACTAGAGGTATTTTTCTATAAAATCCGCACGTCAGCGGGCAAGAACCGAGACGACATCTTGTGAAAATTGTAAACAATATAATGCCCTCCACTGTCACAATAGCAAAACCATTTATGAAATAACTTTAAATAAATAGTCCCGAATAGCACGGCGTTTCTAGCTATAAAGGAAGAAGCCGACATCTGTGGAGCTTTTACGAGGAAAACTAGAAGTATTAAACTGTCTTTCTTACATGTCAACGGGCCATATCTCGGAGCGCATCTTGGACAATGATATCGTTCAATATCGTTCCCCTGATATTCTTCTATACCAACACATCTATAGACAAAAATAAATCACGTTTCCTAACTTGAAATTAGCACTTGGGGATAAGCTGATGCGATGAAAATAAAGATAAATACCTACCCTCCGTGAAACCAATCATCACATGCATCACATTGAATCATAAACTGCATATAGTCGTACGGTTTACGACAAATACAGTATAAATCAGACGCCATTTTGAAAATTCAAGTGCTTGCTTTACCACACGGCCACAGCACGCTTCTTGTGCACGCAATGCATGCTCCGGGCACGTGGGTGAATTGTGTAAGCACGTATTTGTACGAAATGAGCACGCTTATGGCCAAGTTGAGCACGGATAGACGCAACAGAGGCTAACTATAGTAGATTTTAGTATAATTCAATGTGCATTGATTCTAAACTAACTCTATTTATATTGGATAGCTCTATCAGTTCTAAATTGCTCTTCCTGAGGATCAGTAAGGATCATCTCTTATTGATCTAGTGTTACAACAGGAGGAAACCTAAACGAACTTTATTTATACTGGATAGCTCTATCAGTTCTAAACTGTTCTCCCTAGAGGTCCAGTAAGAGTCATCTCTTATTGATCCAGTGTTACTACAGGAGGAAACCTAAACTAAACTAATTTTATTTATACTGAATAGTTCTATCAGTTATAAACTGTTCTTCCTAGAGATCCAATAAGAATCATCTCTTATTGACCCAGTGTTACTACAGGAAGAAACCTAAACTAAACTAACTTTATTTATACTGGATAGCTCTATCAGTTATAAACTGTTCTTCCTGGAGGTCCAGTAAGGATCATCTCTTATTGATCCAGTGTTACTACAGGAGGAAACCTAAACTAAACTAACTTTATTTATACTGAATAGCTCTATCAGTTCTAAACTGTTCTTCCCAGAGGTCCAGTGAGGATCATCTCTTATTGATCCAGTGTTACTACATGCAGGAGGAAACCTAAACTAAACTAACTTTATTTATACTGGATAGCTCTATCAGTTCTAAACTGTTCTTCCTAGAGGTCCAGTAAGGATCATCTCTTATTGATCCAGTGTTACTACAGGAGGAAACCTAAACTAAACTAACTTTATTTATACTGGATAGCTCTATCAGTTCTAAACTGTTCTTCCTAGAGGTCCAGTAAGGATCATCTCTTATTGATCCAGTGTTACTACACGAGGAAACCTAAACTAAACTAACTTTATTTATACTGGATAGCTCTATCAGTTCTAAACTGTTTTCCCTAGAGGTCCAGTAAGGATCATCTTTTATTGATCCAGTGTTACTACAGGAAGAAACCTAAACTAAACTACACTACTATTTATACTGGATAGCTCTATCAGTTCTAAACTGTTTTCCCTAGAGGTCCAGTAAGTCCAGCACGTAAGGATCATCTTTTATTGATCCAGTGTTACTACAGGAAGAAACCTAAACTAAACTACACTACCGTAGTGAGCAATTTTGTATTGGTGGGCTGATTCGTCAGGGGCGACTATTAGGTCATTATTTCCATCTCAAACTTTATAAATTATCGCTAGTTTACAAAATATTGGAGGGCTGAAGCCCTCCGGTTGCTACGGCCTTGAACTAACTTTATTTACACTGGATAGCTCTATCAGTTCTAAACTATTCCCCTTGGAGGTACAGTACACACGCAAAAACGTGCAAATTGTTACAGATTTACAAACAAGTTGTACTGACAAGGTTGTTGTGAAGTCGATATCAGGATGTGTTCGCACTGCTTGTTCCCAGTTGTTGTGACAAGTCTGGAACAAGTTGTTATCATCTTGTTACAAGGTTGATGACGGTAACAGACTTGCTGCAACTTGTTCCAACAAAATTAGTACAGGCTGTTCGTAATAAGTCGCGCCCCCAGTTTTTGGGCAGTCGGGCAATATTCGATCAACAGTCGGGAGGGGGAGGTCGCCGAAACAATTTTTCCGGGAAAAATTTTTGGGTACTAGTCGGGCAAAATCCCGAAAAGTCGGGCAAATTTGTTTCTGCCCCCCTAATTTTTTCCTTCCGGTACGCCCATGACCATATCAGACTTGTTGGAACAACTTGTTGCGAGTCTATTGGTCTCATCAACCTTGTTACAAAATGATAACAACTTGTTCCAGACTTGTCAACAACTGGGAACAAGCAGTGCGAACACATCTTGCTGACAAGCTGTGAGATTTTTACTTGTACTCGAATACGACAAATGACTAGACTCGGACTAGGCTCGGTCCCAGCCGTTCCCTGGGACCAAGCCTAACTCGGACTCGACTTGTCGATTTTCGTCGTAAATGACTTGAGTCAACTCAGTTAAAACTTGTTCAGAATAAATTCGTCAAAAATATTGTAGTTGAATAGGTTGGGAAGAGTCCTGAAAAGGTTTAAAAAAAAAAAAAGTACTCACGCAAAAATCTCACTCACATTTTGTGGCACGTCTGCCAACAAGCCGTCAACAGGTCTTGTTCGTACTGCTTGTCCCAAGTTGTCAACAAGTTTGGAACAAGCTGTTAACAACTTGTAACAACCTTGTTGATATTATCAGACTTGTTACAAGGTTGTTCTAACAAGTGTGATACAGTCATGATATAACAATGTTGTTACAACCTTGTGTCGTCAACCTTGTAACATTCTTGTTATATCACGACTGTATCAGACTTTTTAGAACAACTTTGTAACAAGTCTGATAATGCCATCAAGTTTGTTGCAAGTTGTTAACAGCTTGTTCCAAACTTGTTACAACAACTAGGCACAAGCAGTGCGAACACAACTTGTCGACAGCTTGTGAACAGATTTGCAACAACTTGTTTGCAAAACCTGTAACAACTTGTGCGTTTTTACGTGTGTAATTTTCGATACAGGCAGATTAAGGCGTTTTTATTCACCATTTTGTTCACCATGCAATTCGAGTAGCCATTGACTTTCACTCTAAAAGTTTATTCGCCACAAATGAAATACTACAGAATATAAATACGCTATTCAACTGATATCAAGCTAAGCTGCTAAACAGCCAAATATTAACTGTATATCATTATAATCAGTAATAGCATCATTTTCACTCGCTTTGCAAAGACTTCCATTCGTGCAAAATTCGTGTCAAAAAACTCACTCGTGCCTTTTTTTTTGCATGCACTCGAAACTATAATAATGCTACTTTATTCAAATACTACTAGCTATAATATAATAGTATTTGAAGCCCTATATATTCAGGCCCCATTGTTACTAATTACTTATAACAAAACGACTCCTTTTCCCTATGCGTCAGGAGCTATAAAACTTCGTCCATTACTTTGTTGTGAAAGACTTTATGGACTGAAATTGTTTCTGCATTTGAACGAGAAGATACCTCTAAAATGTTCTTAGTTTTAACCAAATTTATCTAATATTGACTATATATTAATGCGATAAGTACTCAATTTCAAATTAATGTTCGGTAACTAGTCGTATAGGAGGTCCATACAGGGTGCTTAGTCTTAGAAATTAGTCCCATGAGTTCGATTAAAAATGGTTCAACCGTCTACAGAGCAAAGAGTTTTTACTGTTTTACACGCTAATCAGCAAATCATATTCATATGTTGAATGATACCAAAAACGTCGAAACAACGTCCATGCATAAAATTCGATTCAATGGACGACTTGCCGTTTAGACTAAACTTTAATCTAAGTACGAACAACGAAATCTATCACCACAGCTGGAAAGAGCGTCTTGGAATTAGTAATATTACAAAGTTTGGTTGCGAAATGTTGTAAAATACGGACAATATAGCCCTTCAGAGTTGGCAAATTTGTATATTTTTGTATTACGTGCGTGAATTGGTAACTAAATTAGTTACCAATTTCCACTATATTTTCCGTATTTTACAACATTTCGCAACCAAACTTTGCAGTTTTTCTAATTTTGATAACTTCTTTCAGAAAATATCCTTTGTTATTCCCAGTTTAAAATTTTTTCTAAAGCGTAAGTCGTCCATTAGCCTTTCTCACGTGACGATTATCCGCCATTTTTGTGTGGTATCTAATTCTCGTAACCAATGCAGACAATTACTGTAAACGGACAATGTGAAAAGCAATTTTTCAAAATAAACTAACCATTTACAAAGCAAATTTACCATTATTCGTCAAAAAATATATAAAAAGTCGCTGTTATGTGGACGTATCTCGCAGACTTCGGCTGAAAAGCCACCCAAAAATGGCGGCGTGAGAAAGGCCAATTGTGTTTTAGGGACTCAGGCATTCATAATTATAAGGTGAATTTCTACTTCGCTTCGCTTTTTTTAGACACCCTGTACAGCTGAAACCAACTATATTGCTACAAATGTAATGGTGGTTTGCAGTCAACCCCTTGAGATTTATAAGACAGAAATATGGCGTTCATGTTGAATGAAAACACACCCGAAATGCAACAGCTGCTGAAAATATTCTTTTGTTTACAGCGTTCCTCAAACATGGCAGCTATATGACTTCAAGCGCAAACCAAAAATTCGCAAGTTTACAAAAAGATTGTTTTTTGTTGGTTTTGTTAAACTACTCTTCTTCAAAACTAAGTTATATTCACTGTAATCTTCTTCAAATTATATTCTTCAAGGATTTGTCCTTCGCATCTTAAATAAAAAAAGCATAAATATATACTAAAATCAGAAATAATTTATATATTACTGTAAGTACCAAACACATTCAATATATATAGATACCTATTCAATACTAACGCCTGTATACTGTACTCTAAAAGCTCACATTAACACTCAAAAAGTGGAGGTTCACTCTGAGCTTCTCTCGAGTGTCAATGTTGTTTTTGCAGGGGCGTAGGAACCGGGGGGCACGGGGGGAACATGCCCCCCCCCTTAAATTTTTTCAAAGGACTAAAAGTGCTCTTTTTTGTGATGAAAAGTGCCCTTTTTTGTGACGAAAAGTGCCCTTTTTGTACAAGCTAATGTCGCTGTAAATACTAAATTAACATAAAAGGTGCCCTTTTTGAAGTTTTTTAAAAAAATTTGGTCAAAAACGTGCAATTACGGTATGGTACGACGGGAAAATATTTATGCACCCTCTGCCCCCCCCCCCGTCGCCAACATTTCCGGGGAAAATTTTTAGGTGCCCCTTTTCAATACCCTAAAGTTCCCCTAGAAGCCGATGCCCCCCCCCCAAACCTTTGATGCTTCCTACGCCCTTGTGTTTTTGAATAGCTGAAGGTTATTGTCGTTACTAACACTTTGACTGCTGACCCTCCAGTTATTCAAAAACAGTACTGACACTCATTAGAAACACATGCAGATTGAACCTCCACACTTTGAACGTGAATAGCATAAGCGAGCTTTTAGACTACAGCCGTATTAAACTGTAGGAATAACTCACGCTCACCAGCTTAACTCAAGGGAGTCTTTGAAGTAGGTTCAATTGATCCTATATCATCATCACTGAAGTTATTGAAACTATATTGATCCTATAAAACATACACAAACATAAAGTATATTATTTATACAACGTATATTGTTTATACACGAACATGAGCTCAAATTTTACGATAGGCTCGATCTATAATATAAGTCCACGTACCGAGAATTTGGAATCACCACTAAATTTGCTTTTGATGTTTTTCAAAAATCTTTTTCCACGTCCTTCACTATTTTTGAAGTGGACCTAAAAAAATGATAATATATAGCACTCGCATGAGGCCATTATCGTACCACTTGAGAACTGATAGAGTTGTTCAGTATGATATATACTTATAGTTTTTGTTTTCTCCTGGCTTTAGTAACACTGGATCAATAAGACATGACCCTTACTGGATTTCTAAGCGAGAACATTCAGTTTAGAACAGATAGAGCTATCCATCCACTATAAATAAAGTTAGTTTAGTTTAGGTTTCCTACTGTAGTAACACTGGATCAATAAGATATGCACTCTAGGGAGAACAGCTTAAGACCTATACATTAGGGGCCAAGGTCGCCTAATTTCGCCAAATTTTGTCCATGTGCACCCAATTCTTGAACTTTGCCAAACATGCATTCTATACGACTATAAGTTCGCTTAATATCGCTTAATATCCCCAAATTCGCCCAGCGACGTATACTACTTTTCTTTAAGAATTGCCAATGTCGCCTAATGTCGCACAATGTTCAACATAAAAACGGCTACCTTGGCCCCCAAAGTTGGCCTGAACATATTGAACGCCTGCATAAACATCTATAATTAAGTTGAATGCTTATATGCCGAACATATTCAACGCCATAACCATTCAACTTGAATGGTTATCCCGTTGTGTGTGACGTCGATATTCGACTTCATAAACACCATCAAGTTTGGTGTTTATGACGTCGATATTCGACGTCATAAACAACATAAAGTTTGGTGTTTATGACGTCGATATTCGACCTAATAAACACCATCAAGTTTGGTGTTTATGACGTCGATATTCGACGTCATAAACACCATCAAGTTTGGTGTTTATGACGTCGATATTCGACGTCATAAACACCATCAAGTTTGTGTTTATGACGTCGATATACGACGTCATAAACACCATCCAGTCGGGTGTTTATGACGTCGATATACGACGTCATAAAGACCATCAAGTTTGGTGTTTATGACGTCGATATACGACGTCATAAACACCATCAAGTTTGGTGTTTATGACGTCGATATACGACGTCATAAACACCATCAAGTTTGGTGTTTATGACGTCGATATACGACGTCATAAACACCATCAAGTTTGGTGTTTATGACGTCGATATACGACGTCATAAACACCATCAAGTTTGGTGTTTATGACGTTGATATTCGACGTCATAAACACCATCAAGTTTGGTGTTTATGACGTTGATATACGACGTCATAAACACCATCAAGTTTGGTGTTTATGACGTCGATATACGACGTCATAAACACCATCAAGTTTGGTGTTTATGATGTCGATATACGACGTCATAAACACTATCAATTTTGGTGCTTATGACGTCGATATTCGACGTCATAAACACCATCAAGTTTGGTGTTTATGACGTCGATATACGACGTCATAAACACCATCAAGTTTGGTGTTTATGACGTCGATATACGACGTCATAAACACCATCAAGTTTGTGTTTATGACGTCGATATACGACGTCATAAACACCATCCAGTCGGGTGTTTATGACGTCGATATACGACGTCATAAAGACCATCAAGTTTGGTGTTTATGACGTCGATATACGACGTCATAAACACCATCAAGTTTGGCGTTTATGACGTCGATATTCGACGTCATAAACACCATCAAGTTTGGTGTTTATGACGTCGATATACGACGTCATAAACACCATCAAGTTTGGTGTTTATGACGTCGATATACGACGTCATAAACACCAAAGTTTGGTGTTTATGACGTCGATATACGACGTCATAAACACCATCAAATTTGGTGTTTATGACGTCGATATACGACGTCATAAACACCATCAAGTTTGTGTTTATGACGTCGATATACGACGTCATAAACACCATCCAGTCGGGTGTTTATGACGTCGATATACGACGTCATAAAGACCATCAAGTTTGGTGTTTATGACGTCGATATACGACGTCATAAACAACATCAAGTTTGGTGTTTATGACGTTGATATTCGACGTCATAAACACCATCAAGTTTGGTGTTTATGACGTTGATATACGACGTCATAAACACCATCAAGTTTGGTGTTTATGACGTCGATATACGACGTCATAAACACCATCAAGTTTGGTGTTTATGACGTCGATATTCGACGTCATAAACACCATCAAGTTTGGTGTTTATGACGTCGATATACGACGTCATAAACACCATCAAGTTTGGCGTTTATGACGTCGATATACGACGTCATAAACACCATCAAGTTTGGTGTTTATGACGTCGATATTCGACGTCATAAACACCATCCAGTCGGGTGTTTATGACGTCGATATACGACGTCATAAAGACCATCAAGTTTGGTGTTTATGACGTTGATATACGACGTCATAAACACCATCAAGTTTGGTGTTTACGATGTCGATATACGACGTCATAAACACCATCAAGTTTGGTGTTTATGACGTTGATATACGACGTCATAAACACCATCAAGTTTGGTGTTTATGATGTCGATATACGACGTCATAAACACTATCAATTTTGGTGCTTATGACGTCGATATTCGACGTCATAAACACCATCAAGTTTGGTGTTTATGACGTCGATATACGACGTCATAAACACCATCAAGTTTGGTGTTTATGACGTCGACATACGACGTCATAAACACAATCAAGTTTGGTGTTTATGACGTCGATATACGACGTCACAAACACCATCAAGTTTGGTGTTTATGACGTCGATATACGACGTCATAAACACCATCAAGTTTGCTGTTTATGACGTCGATATACGACGTCATAAACACCATCAAGTTTGCTGTTTATGACGTCGATATACGACGTCATAAACACCATCAAGTTTGGTGTTTATGACGTCGATATACGACGTCATAAACACCATCAAGTTTGGTGTTTATGACGTCGATATACGACGTCATAAACACCATTAAGTTTGGTGTTTATGACGTCGATATACGACGTCATAAACACCAAAGTTTGGTGTTTATGACGTCGATATACGACGTCATAAACACCATCAAGTTTGGTGTTTATGACGTCGATATACGACGTCATAAAGACCATCAAGTTTGGTGTTAATGACGTCGACATACGACGTCATAAACACCATCAAGTTTGGTGTTTATGACGTCGATATTCGACTTCATAAACACCATCAAGTTTGGTGTTTATGACGTCGATATTCGACGTCATAAACACAATTAAATTTAGTGTTTATGACGTCGATATTCGACGTCATAAACTCCATCAAGTTTGGTGTTTATGACGTCGATATACGACGTCATAAACACCATCAAGTTTGCTGTTTATGACGTCGATATACGACGTCATAAACACCATCAATGGTTATGCCGTTTACTGTCTTCCGCATAACTATTCAACTTGGATGGTTATGCCGTTAAAGTTGAATTTTTATGCCGAACATATTCAACTTTTAGGACGGAATTGGACCTTCTAGGAAGAACAGTTTAGAACTGATAAGCTTTCCAGTATAAAGAAATTTAGTTTAGTCATTGGAGGTGATACTATTCTAAGTAATGTCCTTGGCTCCAAGGCATTGCATGGTTGTTTCCATATATTTTACAAATTATCTCTATATATCCTACAAACTATCCCTATGTAATACAGTAGTCCCCCGCTAACTCGAACAATTTTTCGTTCCCCTTGGGAGTTCGAGTTAGCGGGGTTCTACTGTATATATAAATTTCATTTCCAAGTTATCCCCATCCTTACAAGTTATCCCTACCTCTTCCTCATCATCATCATCATCATCCCCAACACACTGTGGTGCCCCGGGCAATTCTCCTGAACGATCTGAGGAGTTCTGGATCAACTTGTGATATTTGTATTCCAATCTAGAGAAGAAAGTATACGTATGACGCTTGTGATGTTACTCTGAGTGTATATCCACACCGGGCGAGCTTGAAAAATATGCCCGGCCACGGTGGGAATCAAACCTACGACCTTTGGAATACTAGCCCAATGCTCTGCCAACTGAGCTACGCGGTCAGGACGGTTCGAGTAAGTGATATTTCGGAACAGAATCTAGTTCCTTCGATACCAATGTAATCTAGTAATATGATTTTTTCTGTGTTGGTGTTGTGTACTCAGGTGAATATGATATTTGTGATGTTAGTCTGAGTGTATTTCCACACCGGGCGAGCTTGAAAGATATGCCCGGCCACGGTGGGAATCGAACCTACGACCTTTGGAATACTAGCCCAATGCTCTGCTAACTGAGCTACGCGGTACTAGCCCAATGCTCTGCCAACTGACCAACACAGAAAAAAAAGTATACGTATGTTTGGCTAAGCACTATCGTGCAGCAGATTGTGGCCAACGTGTTCCATTTGTGGCAAACACGTTCCACCGAGACAGATGCGTGTAGAAAAGCCTCTTAGGTGTGCTGGGCCAAAACAAAATTTTTCGTGACCGAACTGAAAAATTATCTTGCAAGTTTCAAGCAAAAATTTATATAAGAAATTGAGAATATTTATTACAATGATTAAATGATCGACTGAAGAAACTCAATACACTATATGTACTGTTGAATGGTCAATTGTGATTACCGTTGAAGATCCGAACTGTAACAGTTCAAAGTTATCAGTTAAACCCAGGGACGCCGGAACTGGGGGGGGGCAGGGGGGGCGGCTGCCCCCCTTGCCTTTTGCTAGGGGGGGCAGGGGGGGCAGAAGTGCCCTTTTAGTTGTAAAATAATACGTGATAAATCACATTTCCAACGATGCTTTGTGTAGGAAAATCACGAGATTCAGGTAATTTATAGTTTATATTTATAAAAATTTTGGGAAATTTTTGGAATTTAGAAAAATATTTTGAAGAAATGGCGAAAAGTTAAGATATCCGGAAAAATTTTTGGCTTCACGGAAAATTTTTGTATGCAGTGAAAAAAAAATTTTCAGTAAAGGTGCCCTTGGTGTGTGTCCGCCCCCCTTTGCCCTATTATCGTTCCGGCGTCCCTGGTTAAACCTAATTGATTGGAATATTGAAATTAAATTATCGAACATCAATCACTGTAATATGTGGCGCAATCTATAATATCTCCGTCTGAGATACACACGTTGTCTTACTGTACCTTTTGTTTTTATAGCAGAGAATCAAAACTGCCAAAACCATGAGAATCACGAAACCAGCAAAGACTGCCAGGCCAATCTGATAAAAAAGAAATAACTAGTATCATATATCGACTATCTACTATCATACTACTATAATATCTACTATCTAACTACTATCAAGGCCAATCTGATAAAGAAGAAATAGCTACTATCATATATCGACTATCTACTATCATACTACTATAATATCTACTATCTAACTACTATCAGACCCGTATTGGAAAATGCTGTTCCAATATGGCAAGCGATCCCGGACTATTTAAGTGAAAGGATAGAATCAATACAGACAATGGCACTTCGAACCATCTTCCCTTCCATAGATAATTATAATGAGGCGATGATGATGGCACAGATACCAACATTGGAGAGCAGACGCGAACTATTATGTAAAAAATATATGACTAAAATGAAGAAGGAGGATCATCCCCTGCATTTTATGCTGCCAAAACATAAGATGAGCGAATGCAGGTATAGCCTACAAATGGGCAAGACAATACTATTTTATTTAAGAACACAACTAAATGCATAACTTTAAGATCTGAACAATTTTTTACTTTTAAATATCTTTAATGTTTATGCACAGTTTTAACAGTTGTATGTATTTATGTAAATATAGTTTTAGTAATACTTTGGACTCGTTAATTCAGTGTAAATATACTGCAAGAGAGTTTCAATAAACATCAAATATATAATATACTTCAGACGCAATACTTTTTAAAAAACGCTGCAAAGAAATTTAACTCTGAAACCAACACTGACCCAAATTTATGAGCAACTTTTCTCCCATTTTTGAGGAAAGTAAATCTCTCCTCAAAACATTGGATATATTTGAAAATTCGCTCAAAAATTGTGTTAATTTGTTCATAATTACAAATTTGAGTAATCTTACTCAAAATTTTAGTCAAAGTATGTTCCGGGATTTTTGCAGTGAACACATTAATAGAATCTTACCGCAAAATCTTTGACAGATCTCTCCAAAATGCTGCAAGTCGTTGAGTTACGTTCTGGTAAAGTCACACCACCAAGACACAAGCTGGAAATTTAACGAGAATGTGAGCAACGACTCATATAACTTCGTGATTATACAGACCATCATTGAACTCATGGTCTAGTTTCTTCTGAGAACGCAAGTATGTGAGTTGAAATTCTACTCGAGAATCGAAACAACGAATTTCTCGCGTGTCTGTTTAGTGTGAAAAGATTATTTTAATAATTCCCAGCGGGCAAAATGACGTTTATCCAACGTTGAATCAACGTTGGAAATGACCTTCCAGACGTTGGATAGACGTTGAAAAAGGGTTGACTATGCAAATTGGATCGACGTTACTGTTTCGACGTTGAAACAACGTTGAAATTAGGTTGCCAATCTCGTCAACCATAATTCAACGTTGAATCCACGTTAAAACAACGTTGGGATTGGTTCACAAATCGACGTTGTACATTTAACCATGAATGAACGTTAATTCAACGTCTGTTGGCTGCTGTTGAACCAATGTTTGTAAAACAACGTCAGAGCAACGTAGATATTAGGTTGTCGACGTCGCAACCTTTTTTCTACCAAATTTCAACGTTGAAACAACGTCGTGTGCACGGTGGGAACTTACTGTGAGCTTTTCCAGACAAACGTCGTGTATTTCTTGCCCTTCTGCAAAACAAAAATGGAAAGAATCAGTAAATGGAATTCAGGTCCATTGAAGTTACGAGATTCTATCTAGACGAACAAGCTACAAAAGACAAAAAAGTTATCATATTTTTTTCGTTTGATCATGCAAACTCTCGCTTGTCAACTCTCGTGCAACTCTTGTTCTCGCTTGATCAATCAATGAAAGTTGAGGAAACTCTCATTGATGCAAACTGTCGCTTGTCAACTCTCGTGCAACTCTTGTTCTCGCTTGATCAATCAATGAAAGTTGAGGAAACTCTCATTGATGCAAGCACTCGCTTGTCAACTCTCGTGCAACTCTTGTTCTCGTTTGATCAGGGCTAGCAATAAATATTTGAACATACCACACAACCAGTGACAATACTGTCATAGTCAGCTGTAGTACACAAAGGACAAGCCGCTGAGGAGTACACGATAAAGTGGAAACTAAAATACAAGAAAACATATAGTATTTAGAAATTTTGTTGCATTTTCTCTCGCATGCGAACGAGGGAAAATATAATCAGACAGCTGTATGCACAGAATGATATTATATATTACTTTTAATGCTAGCTAGTTTTCCTGGTTTTTATAATAAAGTTTATAATTATGGAAGAAATGGAGGACAAAATATAAGCATTACCTGCAACCATCACAAGTTCCCTCAGAACATTTCTCAGGCACAGCAACTTTTACCTAAATATTGAAATTATATAGGATATGAGATAAGAAGATGTTAGGTGGTAGACATTGCAGAGAAGGTGAGGGAAGCAAGGTTGAGATGGCATGGACACATAATAAGAAGAGATGAAGGACAGCCAGTCAGATACATTACGGAATGAAAATATCAGAAGACGTGGGTGGTAGACATTGGAGAGAAGGTGAGGGAAGCAAGGTTGAGATGGTATGGACACGTAATTAGAAGAGATGAAGGAGAGCTGGTCAGAGACATTACGGAATGAAAATATCAGAAGACGTGGGTGGTAGACATTGCAGAGAAGGTGAGGGAGGCAAGGTTGAGATGGTATGGACACGTAATTAGAAGAGATGAAGGAGAGCTGGTCAGAGACATTATGGAATGAAGAGATCAGAACATGTGGTGTGGTAGACATTGCAGAGAAGGTGAGGGATGTAAGGTTGAGTCGTTGAGATGGTATGGACATGTAATAAGAAGAGATGAAGGAGAGCTGGTCAGAGACATTATGGAATGAAGAAATAAGAAGAAGATGTTAGGTGGTTGACAATGCAGAGAAGGTGAGGGGAGCAAGGTTGAGATGGTATTGACATGCAATAAGAAGAGATGAAAATGACGTTTTCGAATAAAATCATAACAGCTCATTGAAGAATACTGCTCACACTGGACCCCAATATTTGATTGAAATAGCAAACCTCTTTTGCCTTGCGATGCGGATCACACACATTATGTATGATAGTCGATCTTCCTTTTGGGCACGCCTCAGTGAAACTAAGATAAAATAAAAAACGCGTGTTTTGGAACGTGCACAAAACGATATTGCAAACTTTGAGATTTTAAAGCAACGAACGACTCAATGGCATTGAGAACAGTAGAAATACCATGTTTGGATAC